TTGCTTTTCACGAAGTCCTGCAGGCTGTTACTCAGTACCTCGTGGCCTTCAAGGGCATCGACAATTGATTAAATTTTCAATTGTCTAGTGTTTATCCTGGTTTTCTTATGCCTGATGTGAACTCGGTACTGCTTTTGGATGAAGCAGAGAATTTATTTAAAAATCGATCTGTAATTTGCCATGTTCCTTTCATCTAGTTTTTTTTTGTTCTTTGCTTAAAAAAAACCCCAAAGAACATTATTCTGTCGGACAAAAGGAAATAAACCGAATTCTATCTGTTGGCTGCCAAAATGAATCGAGTCAAATTTATTTCTTATTTACTCTTTTTGGGAAGTTCTGAGTCAAGCCAACTTGCCTTTGGTGAAATTTGATCAGCGGCCATTCTTAACGCTCAATGCTATACTATTTCCCCTGCTGGCTGACCCTGAAAGGGACTCTTCATGGCTCTTTCTGACATTGTGTATAGCTTCACTGACATTTTGCAGGTCACCTGGAGCTTCCAAATGCATTTAGAGGTAAAGAAGTCACCAGAAAAAACAGGTATCAATGTAACAGTTGCTAATTCTCATGATTTTGATCTAGAAGCCCCAAGCTGAGGGCATTTGGCACTGGGTGGCCCCATGTTCCATCAGAGGTTTACAAGGAAGAGCCAGACCTCCACCCCTTTCAGTATTCATTAAGAAGGAGCTCCTACTCTGCTCCCCAGCAAGGCTCTGGAAGTGAAGAGCAGAGTTGACGGAAAGAAAGCATCTCTTTGCATCCTGAGCGGACTTCGTGGAGAGTCTGTGGTATTGCGCTCCCTCTCTGTCCATCCAAACTGCTGATTGGGATGACGGGAGCAAAGAAAGGGTAGCAGCTGCAGTTCGAGGAATGGTTGAATGTCCCCATTCTTAGAAAACCATCTGGCATGGAATTAGACAAGTAGCTAAGGAAGAAACGCATGGCTCTTATACCATACCTGGCTTGTATGGGTACGTAACTACACTCCCCACACCCACCTGCCTGCTGCCTGTTTTAAATGAGATCTGCAAATGAAGACCATATCATCTAATCATGGCATTGGCCCCAGAGAGTTCATGGCACTGGCCCCATAGAATGTCAGTGTGAGTCAGAACACTTCTTCCATGGCATCAGTTCTGATTGCCTTGCTGTACGCTCTGCGGCCCCAGAGGTTGCTCAGTCACAGCATCTTGGACCCCCCCAACTAACAAAACGTCCACCAGCTGCTGACAAAGCAATGACTTCAAGGTGACCGCTGTCTTGCCACGGCCCTGAGGTGAGGGGCTGGGGAGTGCCTTAACCCCAGGCTTGACTTCAGGGGATCTTGCCCATGCCCATCCTTGCTAGGACACTGGACTTCATACCCATGTTGGAACCCACTGGGCATGGAACAATATAGCGTGCTCTCCTTTGGAAATTTACTAGACGCAGGATTAGACCCACTTGGAACTCACCAGGAAAAGCCCAGCCCATTCTGAAGGAAATACCATCGAATATCTTCGTTTGCGGTTTGGAGGGTGAGGCGGTGAGCCCAGGAAAAGAGGTGCTTCTCATGCCTGAAGTAGGAAAAACAGAGCCATCCGTTTCCCTGACATAATTATCTTTTCATCTGTTCGAGTCAAGGAGGATGCCAACTGCCATAGAAGAATGGACTCGAGTAATTTAAAACAGCTGTAGATGGAAATTCTAAAAGGACACTGCTTCCCACGATTTGGGTGCTCATCTGGAGAGTTAATGCAAAATCATACAGATTGCTGGAGGTAATCTGAGAGGCCTCTAGCATCATTAAAGACCTGAAAGATGCCATGTATTTTGCCCTTTGTCTTCTCCATGTGATCATTTTAAATGATTTTGAGAGACTAACTATAGGTTGCCACTGACATAATGAAACTCCTCCTACTGTTGTTAATACAGGATCTGAGGTCATTTTGTTTCTGGAAAAGATATACAGTGTGCCCTGTAATATTTGTTAACACATTTGACCAGTGCATCCCCACCAGTGATTTGCATCTACCTGCATAGGACAGTCATACACTTTCACTGTCTTGCCCCAAGGGTGTGTAAATTTTCTTGCTCTCTGTCACACTGTTGAAGGAAGGGATTTTTAAATCACTTGGAAACGTGAAGGCTTTGCTTTCACCTATTACAGAGCTGATGTTTTAATTAGGAGAAACAGCAAAGATGTTTTCTCCTTCTTATTAAGCTTATGACCTTGGCAGTGACCATGAGTAAGGGACAGAAGCAGATTGCAGGATGGGCAGGTGTTTGGCAGCTGCAGAGAAGCAGGCTTCCTTGTGGTCTGGCTTACGGTCTGGCGACAACTCCTGTTGCCGTACACACATTGGAAATATGACTCCTGGAAGGGGGAGGAGGTGGGGAGGTTCTGTCCGTTATGACTTGGGGTAAGCACATAAATTATTTGACTTGGCTTTACAGGAAAGGGTGACTCCCCCCAAATGGTGGCAGATTTGTGATCGTGCAGGTGACTTGGGTCCCGTAATGGGTTTGGATTTTGAAAGGAAACTTAGAAAGTTCCTCAGTCCATCTTCTCTAGGTAGAAATGAAGGCCAAGAGAAATTAAAGTTATGGCAGAGTTGTGCTAAGATCTACATTTCCTGATTGCTGTTTTTAGTGCATTTCTGGTGACTCCATTTGAATATTCTCCATAAAGTCTTAAGATAATATCACTGAAAAAAATCACTTCTGTATTGATAATTATTGACTGGTATGAAGAACAAGTGATCACAGCTGTGCCTTCTAACAAAGTGTTACTGTTGACACCTTTTAGTTGCGAGAGGTGGCATGGCATCTGGCCCAGATCTCCTGGGATAATAGACCAGGCCTACCCCCTGACTAATTAATGGTAGGTCTTTGGCTCCTTCTTCATCTCCCTGGGCTTCAGTGTCCTCATCTGTAAAATGTGTGAACTAAATAAAATAACATGTAAAACAGTAGATTGTCTAGCACAAGGCACGTGACTATTAGGTGTTAGCCGATATCATTGACCTATACTATGTTATTTATTTATTTTAATGGATCAAAGATCAGAAGGTATAAAAGTGTAGAGAGTGAAAAGTCTGCCTCCCTGCTCTGTCTGCCCGACATTCAGATCCCCCCCCACAACTGGCATTTATTTTTCTTCTGTCTCCTTCCAGTGAATTTATATGTAAATAAGCAAATATGAATATATATCCTCCCCACTTTGTTTTCCAAATGGTAGCACACTATACACCGTGTTCTGCCCTTGTTTTTTTTTAAGATTGATTTATTTATTTGAGAGAGAGAGTGTATGAGCGGGAAGGGTAGAGGGAGAGGGAGAGACAATCTCAAGCAGATTCCCCATGGAGCACAGAGCCCCATGGGGGGCTCAATCCCACGGCCCTCAGATCATGACCTGAGCTGAAACCAAGAGTCACACGCTCAACCAACTGTGCCACCAGGCGCCCCTGCCCTTGCTTCTTTAAAAATTTTACTTAATAATGTTTTCTTTTTAATTTTATTTTTAAAGGTTTTATTTATTTATTTGACAGAGATTGAGAGCACAAGCAGGGGGAGTGGCAGAGAGAGAGGGAGAAGCAGACTCCCCACTGAGCAAGGAGCCCCATGTGGGGCTTGATCCCAGGACCCTGGGATTATGACCTGAGCCAAAGGCAGACGCTTAACCAACTGAGCCACCCAGGTGCCCCTTATTTAATAATGTGTTTGAGCTGATATATGTAAGGAGGACCTTACTCCAATCTCTTTGTCATACTACATGGAAAGGATTTACTGTAATTTATCTTACTTGATGCCTGTTCATGGACATTTAGGTTAATACTCATCTTCTGCTATTATTAACCATCCTGCAACAAAGAACCTTGGACATATGTTATTTGCATATGTCTGTAGGATTAATTTCTAGAAGTGGCATTGCTGGGTTAAAGGGTATGTGCATTTTAAATTTTGGCAGATATTGCCAAATGGCCCTCCACGGGGGTTGTATCCATTTAGAGCCTTCACAGCACTGAATGAAAGTGACTTTCTCCCCTGCCAAGGCAGTGTATTATCAAACTTCAGGGTATTTGCCGATCTGATAAAGGAAAAGTGTTGTTTCTGTGTAGTTTTGATTTACATTTCTCTTACTATAAGTGAAAATGAACATGAAAAAAATGTTTAAGAGACATTTTTACTAATTTTTTTCCCCCGAGAACTATTTTCCCATGTCCTCCACTCATTTTTTGTTGCATTGCTTTCATTTTATACGAATTTGCATATATTTTTTAAATTTTTTTATTTTTTATTTTTTTTTAGGTTTTACTTATTTATTGAGCTGAGCAGGGAACCTGATGCGGGACTTGATCCCAGGACCCTGGGATCACGACCTGAGCCGAAGGCAGACGCTTAACCATCTGAGCCACCCAGGCACCCTACATATATTTTTTTTAAACATTAAAAGTAATTATCAAAATGAAAACATGTACATATTAAGTTCAAAGGTTATGGAAGGGAATAAAAAGATAAATACAACTTTTTTTCTCATCTCCCGTCTGATGAAATCTGCTTCCTAGAGATAACCATTATTAAGTTTCTTTTATAGTTTTGCATAAATTTTATGTGTGTGTGTGAGCATTTATGTGTATATTCTTTATTTAACAAAGAATATACACATCAACCGATACCTAATGTTTACCATTTTGCTTTTCTTATTTGGATGCATTTTCTCATTTGTATTCATAGAATCATTTCTTTTTTCAGTGACTACGTATCTTTCCTTGGTCTCTTAAGTATGTACATTCCCCTCAAGATGATTCATTGGGTCATGGGAAGAAAATATTATTAGCTCTTCCACTTATGCTTATCTTATTGAAAAGTCAAAATTTCTGGTGTCTATTTTGTAACATACACACGATATTATCAAGTTTATAATTCATGTTATGTATATAATTGGAAAATATAATTTATGTTTTCATATCAGACATGTGTGTTTAAATTCTCTCTCTCTCTTTTTTTTTTAACTGAAGGAGTTTGCTGTAAAAAATGTTTGGAAATGATGGCCATACTTCCTTTAACCAGCCTTTCATTAATAGACATTTAAGTTTTTTGCTGTAGTGATTTTAAAATACATCCATACATTCTTTGACATTCTTTTTCTCCAAGATGGAGCCTAATTTCTGTCCCCTTGAGTGTGGGCTAGATTTGGTGATTCACTTCCAAAGAACAGAATATGGTAGAAATGGCAGTGTGTGACTTCTGAGACAGTCGTATAAGACATTGTGGCTTTGCCCTGGAACTTGGATCATGGTCTACATGTTCTATGTAGGACATCAGCCGCCATGTTGTAAGGGCACTCAAGCAATCCTCTGGAGAGGAAGCCAGTCTTTCACCAAAAGCCAGAACCACCATGTCACCTTGGATGTGGACCCTTCAGCTCTAGTGAAGCCTTCAGATGACTGCAGCCCCATGAAGGAACCAGAGACAAACTATCCTGTTGCAGTTTTCCTAAATTTCTGACCTGTAGAAACCATGGAAGATAGTAAATGTTTACTGTGGTTTTAAGCAGCTACATTTTCAGAAATTTTGTTATGTATTTCTGTAATAGATAAGTAATGTACTTCTTATCTTTTATTATTATAAATATTCCAGTAAAGAAATTTGTGTGTGTTTGTATTTATGTATTTATATACAATTGCACTCTTGTGTGAACGTATTTGTGGGTTAAATTCCTGGATATAGAATTTTTGAATCTAAGGGTTTGTATCCTAAACATTTTGATATATTTTGATATATATGACCTGTTATCTTCCAAAAAGTAAATACATTTATACCTCCCTTTGCCCACAATATTCCTAACACTGGGTATTAAGGATTTTTAATTTTTGCCAAACTGGTAGATATTTGTTTTAATTAACATCTCTTTAGGTGGCAAGTTGAATATTTATGTGACTGTTTGGTCATTTGTAGGTCATATGTTTGCCTCTTTTTCATTCTGGTTCTTAGCCTTTTTATTGTTGATGTGTAAGTGCTCTTTGCAGTTGAAAATTTTTTTCATTACAGTGCAGCAAATCATTCTTCCAAGTTTTCTCTGTGTTTTGACTTTGTCTATTAAACTTTTTTTCTGTATAAATTTATTTTTACCAAATAGGTGACCAAATTTATTTATCTTTTTATTTATGGATTCTGGAGTTGTGACATGTTTGGAAAGGCTTTCTTCATTCCAATACTCTATTAAATCCATGGATTTGTGTGGTATTTCTATTTTTTTTTTTAAAGCATTCCAAATGTGTGATCCATTTGGGACTAACTTGGAGTAAACAGCAAGGTAGGTGTCTCACTTCCAGTTCTTTTTTTCTTTTAAATAACTAATAAGTTGTCTGCACACTTTTTCTGGTCTAGCATTTTCTAATGGAGATATCTCCTTTATCAGATGATAAATGAGCAATAATACCTAGGTCTTTTTCTACATTTTAAAATTCTGTTCTATTGATCCATTTCTCTCTTGGTGCAATACCATATTGTTTTAATTATTATAGTTTCATAATACACAGTTGATCCTTCCTTGAACAATGTGGGGGTTGGGCACCAACCCCCTGTGAGGTTGAAATCTGCCTGTAACTCTTGGCTCCCCCAAAACTTACCACTTACAGTCTACTGTTGACCAGAAACCTTACTGACAACAAAAGATTAACATATATTTGTTATATATATTATATACTGCATTCTTACAATAAAGTAAGCTAGAGAAAAGAAAAAAATTTTTTTAAAGATTTTTATTTATTTAAGAAAGAGAGAGAGAGATAGAGAGAGCACAAGCAGGGGGAGGGGGGAGAGGAAGAAGCAGGTTCCCCGACATGGGGCTTGATCCCAGGACCCCGGGATCATGACTTGACCTGAAGGCAGATGCTTAACCGACTGAGCCACCCAGGTGCCCCAAGAAAATATTATTAAGGGGGCACCTGGGTGGCTCAGTCGGTTAAGCATCTGCCTTCAGGTCATGATCCCAGGGTCCTGGGATTGAGTCCTGCATCAGGCTCCCTGCTCAGGGGGGAGCCTGCTTCTCCCTCTCCCTCTGCCCCTTCCCCTGCTTGTTCTCTCTCTCTCTCTCTCAAATGAATAAAATTTTAAAAAATAAAAAAAGGATTTAAGAAAATGTTATCAAGAAAATCGTAAGGAAGAGAAAATAGGTTTACAATACTGTGCTTTATTTATATTTAAAAAAATCTGTGTATAAGTGGATCTGGGCAGTTCAAACCTGTGTTGTTCCAGGGTCACATGTATATTTATATTTGGCAGAGCTACTCCCCTGTCATTAGATTTAGTTGTTAAGACTTTTTCCTGGTCATTTAAAAACATTTAGTCTTTCATGTAAACTTCAGAATGGCTTTTTTTTTTTTTCCTGTTGAGGTAAAAAAAAAAACAAAAAAAAGACAAAAAAGAGAGAAAGGAAGAAAAGAAAAAGAAATCTGTAGGAATTTTGGTTATATTACATTGAATCTTAGATTAATTTCAAGAGGCTTCATAATTCCCTAATCACCCCTAAAAATAGGTCTTCCCATTTAAGATTACTTTTATCTCCCACTATCCCCAATTAAACCTTAAAAAATGTAGTTTCTACTCATTTATTAATTTATACTGTCTTCTTTTCCTTTCTGAAAGTTTTTAAAGTACATTTTATGATTTTTTTACATAGAAAATCTGCTTTTTATGCAACTGATTTTTAATCAGTTTGCATCTTTTCACATGATTTTAATAGATTTTTAAAGAAAATATCTTTGAGTTTTCACATCTATAATCATGTAGTTTACAGATATTAAGTGTTACATCCAACAGTCTTCTAATATTCAACCATCCTCTTATTCCTGATAATATTATTTGGTCATGGCATAAAATCTGTTAATAAAACTCCTTGAGTCTATATGCTAATATTTAATTTAGCAGCTGTACATATATAATCAGGAAAAGATTGGTTGGTAGTTTTTCATGCTGTATTAAGTTTAATATCATTTTTACGATAGCTCTGTAAAATTTTTTTTATGGCCTGGGAAAGTATAAACAGGATCAAAATATCTGCTTATTTATTAAAGGTTTGAAAAAATTCATCCATGAAACCAACTCTTGTTGGATATCCCTTCAATGGATTTTTTCAGAGATATGTTTTATTAATTTGATCATTTTTTCTCATTACAGAAAACATTCATTCTTTGTAGAAAATTTGGAAAAGAGATATAGAAAAAAGAAAAAAAATCACTAATAAGTCTATAATCAGATAGTCTTTGTAAACACACGTTTCCTTAATTGTGGTTTTAAAATATTTGTGGGTATAGTTTGACAAAATTTTACACATCTGCTTCTTTTGAGCCACCACTGACACCAAAATGTAGAATATTCTTTTTAAATTTAATTTAATTTTCATTCCAGCATAGTTAACAGTGTTATATGAGTTCTTTTCAGTTGTTTTTAATGTTTACACTTCTGTCTTTGTGCTATGTATGCTGTAAGAAGGTTTATGCCTCTGCAAATTTATTTGAGGAAGCCACATTATATTTTTAATATTCTGGTAGAACAAAAATGTAGTAACTGGTGTTAATCAAATCTTGCGTTCACTGAGGGCACCAGAAAAAATAAGGAATTTTGGGATGGTGACAGTGAGGGAAAAATGTTCTGGTACGATCTATTTCTGTTGACTGAAAATTAGATACCATTAATAAAGTAAAATGTTTGCTGGCCTTCTGAAAAGATGGAACAGGGTCTTTTTTTTTTCTTTCTTAAGATGAAATAGGATTTGAATCAGGTAGATGATGGAAAAATTATACTCCCTTAAAAATGAAGAATTGCAGAATTTAATTTAAATTATAAATGTAATTGTTTTCCTCTCTTAATGTATTTTTAAAGGGCTTTGTTGTTTTATTACAGGTGTACATTATAATGTAAACTGAAAAGCACTTTTGAAGTCATTACTTGAATATTTGGAGTTGTTGGCATTCCCTGCCCCTCCCCCACCACCATATAGATAAAATCCTGAAATGAACAAGATGGTGCATTTACTCTTTGGGAAAAATTTTCTTCATTTTTATACTTACTCATTGGGCATAACAGTCTCAAATGGGTCGGCACAATGATCTATAGGCAGATAACAATGAAAGAATGTGGTTCGATCTTTGGAAGTGGTTTCTATTCTGTGCATATACTCACAAACCAAGACTTTCCTTCCCTTGATTTTCTTAAAAATGTATAATTTCTTTGTAAAAATAAGCTAGTTTCTAAGCTGTTTCATATGGTCCTCATAATATCTATGCAGGAAACTAGAAAAACCAGAATTCTATTAATTTATTATGAATGACAAGAGAACTGACAAAAATTAAAGAACTCCATTCTTTGTTATTTTGTTCTTTGATTTTAGGTAGCTATATTAACCCAAGGGAATCTTTTTGATACTTTTGCAATCTGAGATGTATAATAAACTATTTATATCTCCCCCTGTTTCAGAACCCTAAAGCCTATACTTTGAAATTTTGAGCAGGCAATTTTGCACCAGCAATATATCTTTCTTTTTCTGGACTAACTATATTGAAAGCTGACTTTTCTCTGTCCTCAGAAGTATTGCTACTAAACTTTATGAATTAAATTTAATACTACAAGCCAAATTATCTGTTTTTCCACTTTCTGCAACCATAAAAATATTACTTGTGAGTCAAGCCTGAGGCTCTGAATGTCACTGTGTTTCTCCAACTTGGAGAGTTTTCATTTTCAATTAGACTGAAGCACGTTCAATACAGGCAGCAAGAGCTTATTCAAAAGTAAAAATTAGAATTACAACCTTTCTCTTCAAGGTGGAAAACTGTCTTTGCTGAGCTGTTCTGTTAACATTGCTTTATACAAGAAGTTGGAAAGGTTCTTTGCTTTTCTATGTTTTTTTTTTTTAACTTAGTTTTATTTAGAATATTCTATATGGCATTGAAATCTCTGTGTACTATTATGGTATCCAGTATAACAAGACACTTAATGTGCAAAAGCCTTGAGCTTCCTTTTGTTCTTTGTCTCAGTGTATGATGTGGGAAATAGACATTCATTTTATTTCTCCTACATTCACATCTTTGTTTTATAGAATGGAAAAATTCATCCCAACAGAGAATGGCAATATTCATGACTTGAAAGAGCTTTGAATTCTTCTTAATGTATGACCGTGAGTATGTGGGAATAGTAATTACAATTTCGGCAGCTCATCGTCAGGCGCTCTGGCCTTGAAATGAAAACCTGTAGTAAGCTTAGTAAATTTACTAAGAAAGTAAGTTTAGTAAGAAGGCTAAGATGTGAGGACACTGGTTGAAAGGTAGATCAAACAGTGCTTTTTGGGGTGCCTGGGTGGCTCAGTCGTTAAGCGTCTGCCTTTGGCTCAGGTCATGATCCCGCGGTCCTGGGATCGAGCCCTGAATTGGGCTCCCTGCTCCGCGGGAAGCCTGCTTCTCCCTCTCCCACTCCTCCTGCTTGTGTTCCCTCTCTCGCTGTGTCTCTCTGTGTCAAATAAATTTTAAAAATCTTAAAAAAAAAAAAAACAGTGCTTTTTACATTTTGAGCAGTAGGACAGTAATGTTAGTTGAGTGTTGATATTGCTAACTGAGGAACTTTGTACTGTATCAAGTAAGATTTTTCCCCC